GCAGCAGTAGTGGTGGTGGCAGTAGCAGTAGCAGTAGCCGTAGCAGTACTATTGCCAGTTATACTACTAGTAGCAGCAGTAGTAGTAGTAGTTGTAGTAGTAGTAGTAGTAGTAGTCGTAGTACTAGTAGTAGTCGTAGTAGTAGTAGTAGTAGTAGTAGTAGTAGTAGTAGTAATAGTAGTAGTAGTAGTAGTAGTAGTAGTAGTAGTAGCGGTGGTAGTGATAAGAGTGGCCGCAGCCGCAGCAGCAGTGGCAGGAGTAGCAGTAGTGGCAGCGGCAAAAATGGCGGGAGCGGAAGCCTAGCAGCAGTAGCGAAATCAGTAGCAGTAGTAGCGGTAGTGGTCGTCGTCATCGGCGCCGCTGCGGGGTCTGTGGCAGCAGCTGCAACAGCAAATGCGTTCTGCACTATTGCTTGCTTTTTTTCTGTTGCTCTGGCTGCTGCTGCTGCTGCTGTTGTTGTTACTGTTGTTCCTGTTGTTGCGGTTGTGGTTGTGGTTGTGGTTGCTGTCGCTGTGCTGTTGTTGTTGTTGGTGAATGCTGTGGTTGTTGTTGTACTCGTTAACGTTAATGTTATTCTAGGGCGCTGGCTTATGACATCAAACATGATGACGATTGGTGATTTTAATTCTTGTTAGCTTCACCATGGCGCCTAGGCCGTGCTGCTGCTTGTAGTCTGCGCCTTCGCCAACGGCTGCCCACTCGCCCCAAAGCCGGCCGCTGTGTCCAAAACGGTCGCGGCATCTGCGGCGGCACTTTTACAGGAGGAGTTTAAAGTTCTCTTCGAGAGCGTGGCAAGGCAGATTCTCGACAGTGTATCGACAGCTTCTACTCAGAGAACTGCAACTGCTGCCACCGCCACACCTCCTTCTGCCCCTGCAGCATCAGCTGTAGTGCGACATTTGTCACAACAAAAACAACTCAACATGAGGACTGTTGCCGCTGGTACTTGGACCCTCAATGTTGCATTGCGTTTAATTGAATGACCTTTAATGCGTTTTCCTAGGGAGTATTCATTACTCGGTGTCATTCTGCGAAGTGAGTAATATGTTTTTGGGGCCCGGCGGAGTTTTGCTGGCTTCTTCCGTCCTTTCTGCTAATGATGAATCAGTCTTAACTGAAACGAGGATAGCAAGAGGCCAGAGAAGACTCGCTGTATTGCAGCAGGCCTCGGGCTGTCGGACCATGGAGAAGTCTTCAAAATGAAGGCGTTTTAGTCTTGGTAGTTCTCTTCGAGATTTTGGATCCCCGCAAGCCCTCCTACTCTGCTACATTACGAGGCCTCAGACTCCACCAGGACAGGAACAAGAGGCACACCCGAAGCCCACAGCTTGGAAGCCTTCATGATCACCCAAAACCCCAAAACCTGAACCAAACCTATGACAACAAACTGCCTTCCGGCCTCCCCCAAAGTCTATCAGGTCGCCTTTCTTGAGGGTGTCCGCACCTTTGCCGCAACTTACTCACGCACTCGCACAAAACAGGCATGGCTTCACGACGTCCGAGCAACTTAAGAGTTTTTTTAGCGCCTCTTTTCCGACAAGAGGTTTAGGGTCTCTTGCTCCCTGTCTCTCTGTGTTCTGGCGACATGAGTGGAAGGCAGGAAATTCATTAAAGCAAGACAAGTTGGACCTACGGCACACAAGTCACAGCGCAGATATCACTGGCACAAAGGGCGATCGCCACGCGGATGTACTTCCAGGTGTCACCCACTCCACACTGAGTCTCAGTCATTATCTGGACATCTCAACTGAATGCATGTACCAAAGCAACCGAAGCCGTTGCTTGCTGCAAGCCCTCAACCCGAAATCTTGACCGCCCGAAATCTGCGCTCAGACCCCAGCTGCATCCGTAGGAGGGATGGAAGTAGACAATGTAGAGGTCCTGCTCTGCAAAGATGTAGCCATTTGACAGGTCTGTGTCGTAGAAGGCTCGGAATTCGTCGAAGGACTCCCACTCCACCACATGTGGACAAACCAGCAGCGTAGTTGCCGGCTGGCCAGGATCGATGTCCTTTTGGGCCTCAGTTGGAAGTCGAACGGCTTCCATTGACAAGTCCTCCAACACCCCCTCCGGGGAGCTGGAGGAGCTGGTGACAATACGGACCTGCTGCGCCTCATCCGTCGGGCGAGCATAAGGGCAAAAGTTATAGCCAATAATAACATCATCCAGCCAGTGCCGAATCGCAAGCACCTGAAAACCAAAAAACTAGCTAGGGCTCCTTGTTGTGATGTTTCTGTATATTGACTCACTGGATCTCAACAGTGTAGGCTTCTAGGCCCTAGGTTGCGGCACGTGCTCGTCGTTCTCAATCACTGCTTCCCGACGGCTGCGGCTCCAGCGGTGACCACGCAAACGGCAGCACAGCAGCAAAGTCGCGCCTTCGGGGCTTTTATCGGGTGTTCTGATATGTAATATGATATGGGATGTAATCATACAAGGATAAGGTTTTACAATAATCTAACTCAGTGTGTGTGCAGATAATGCAGCATGCTCGTGCGTTCTGATGTGCGATCACAATCTAATGAGCACACATTGATCATCCATGTGCAGAGGCACCTTACAATATGCAGAACGGCTTTTGCAGTGATAGGGTAAAGAACGAACAAGTAATGGACAAAAAAAGGGCCGATCATGCAGACAGCCACTATAAAGAACTTGTCCGAAGTCCCAAGCCCTTACATCCCAACCTGTCACCGTCCATGAGCTGACGCCCTGCTTCATAGCAGCTCGCCGAAGGCTCCTCTGCTGCGCTCCTTTCCGGGGGAAAATCAGAAACGAAGATTTAGGCTTATAGGGTTTAGGGCCAAACGGGGGCTTATAGTATAGGGTTTGTAGGGCTTAACGGGTTAAGTTTCATAGAGCGTGTTGACAAGCTCACGTGGACAAGCTAGGCGTGGCCTCGTGAATGTCTCACCGTTCCAATGCATGACAAAGGTGCTGTCGTGCGCATTAATAAGGATGCCAGACTCGTACTTGCTCTGGCTCAACGACAGTCGACGACAGTGGCTTACCCAAGAACCCACAGTTCATGAAGCCAAACGGCGCAAGGGTTATGTGCATTGTGCAGGCATGAGTGTAGCTATGCATGTCCATGTCTCTGTATATACGAGTGGCTGTGGATCTGCAACGAGCATAACCGGAATAGTACCAAAGGGGAACATCCCACACAGTTCAACTAACTTTGTACCCAGGTAGGGATGGGGCAACCCCTTTTCAGGTCCGGAAGCCTGTAGCACAGGGGCGGCAGCCCGTGCAATGACAATGAAAAACACAATCGATGTTGGGTTGAAGGTGTAAGGTTGTGGGGTATAGGTACAACAGCAACGCTACATGGTAGCCACCAGAGCAACGGTGACACTTACCACATGCTCTTATAGCAACAGTTTTCGACTCCTGCGATGCTACTGCGATTTCTCATCCGAGTGTCAGTACGTTGTACAACGGCTAATGAGCCATGATAGTACAGCACTACCTGCCAGAAACACCGATGGTGCAAGATACCCTGAAGATACTGTCACTAGATAATACAATATAGCATACCGGTAGAAGTCATACGAGTAGTCTGCGCGGTACCTGCCCCGTTCTCATTTCTGGCCTGGTGCAACTGCTGACACTGCCCAGGCTGCTCGCGTTCTTTGCCACGACAGACTTGGCGCGGTCTGGATCGGAGAAGACTGCATCGTGTTGGCGTGCTTCGACAAGATCTCTCTCCTTCTGAACTGCATGACTTGTCATATGCGACAGAAGTTACTCCTTCATAACATCATCCTGAACAGCATCCTGAACTGAGCTTGAGCTGTGCGGCAGTCACACGGACAATCGGCAAGCACGGTCAATACACAGTCAGTAGAATCAGCAGGGCTTTTCTCAGAAGCAGTACTGAACTGGGGCAGTGAAACATCATAATCAATTTTGCCATACATGCTGGATATACTGACTGGCACTTGTAAGCAGAACTACATGAATGACCACTCTTGGTAGCAGGCACCGTGTTTGCTATGATTCGTGTTTGGGCCGGTAAGACCTCTGTGATAGACTAGGTACAAGTGGCGAGTGTCCTGCAACATCCAAATTTGCGAGAATCACCTGGGTCGGAATGCGGAACACTACTCTTTCTACACAAGTGTTGCTGTTAGTCTCACTCTTCACAACCTTATCAGTATTGCGTCTGTTGCTTGTCTTTTCCGCTGGTTGCCCTTATCTCGGTCACTTGCAGACTAAGTACTAGCAATTGGTACCAACTTCGCAGCTACTTCTGTCAGCATGACGACAAAAGGCTACTATACAAGATTGCTTGCCGCCACCACCGTGTCTCCGGCTGCCATTGCTGCACTTACTCTCACACCAACCACTTCCAGTGTCACTACCAGCTCCAACGACGCTTTCTATCAGTGCCATCTACGACTGCAACTAGAACGACTGCGAGTTGCAGTGGCATGCAGTGGCATCACTCTGGCCACCAAATTCGAACATATTCAAACCGCGCCTAGTTCCTTACAGTCTGTCCACAACAGAGGACAAAGACCAAGCCGCGTGATCAGGATTCTCAACAATCGTTATTGTCCCTGTGGATATGCGTCCTGCTTCATCTTGGATGTGGTTGTCCAAAAGTCATCCTCTTTGCCTGGTGCAAGTCACGAAATGCGCGGGGCAGTGCTGGGCTGCGTGCACTATGCTCTGGCATGACAGAGAAACTGTACGAGCTTTCGAGCTTCTGATACAGTAGGCGCTGCCACTCGCCTTTGTCTTCCTGCCAACACTGCACAAGTTCCATTTATGTTAGACGAGATCTGGGGGCAGCTTGCTTGGCCCTGAATAAGGCTTGGTCACCACTGCCGCCGGCCGCCCTACCATGGGCTTAGGCCAGCTTGTGTGTGTGTGCGCCAAGCATGAGGCACACTGCACCAGTAGTATAGTCAAGGTCTACTGATTCCGATACATTCCCACCATCCCAAACGCAATTCAGACTGAGAGTTTGACCGATGTCGCCCGCACTGGCCGCCCACCTTCGCAACCCGGGCCCAGTGGGTTCTTGGGTTTGGGGGTCGAAGATGTTTCGGGCACAGGGGTTGCAGGGTACAGTGTATGCAGCCTTGCGTCCCGGATCTTACAGGATTGAGTTTGCGCAGCGCTGTTCATCTAGGGCTGCTTTGTGCAATGCGCGGGCCGTGCATCCACAACACGAGGCAACGGTGTGGAACATTCGTAGGCTTTAGAGTTTCTAGGGTCGACGTGCCTGCACTCTGCATCCATGGAGTCACTTCACTACAACCCAAGATGGTCGCATGTGGTGTGCAGAGCCTGACATTTCGGGTTTGGGGGGCTTGGGCGGGTTTAGGGCCTCAGGGTTTCTGCCTTTAGCAAGGGACTCCGAACAACTAGGAGCCCTTTAAACCTGTGCGGAAATCTTGGGTTTCCGCTGCTCCTTTGAATCGCTAGCTGCCATACCAGCCAAACTGTCGCTGCCAGTTCCGTGCCATCCCTAAACTCCCTCCACAATGATTCTTGTACCTTACCCTGGGCCTTGACATTGAAACCGAACACAATGGCATACACTAGCAAGCAGGGTGGGACGATGCTGCCAGCCACGAGCCATTCGTCTTGTCGGAAAACTTAGACTGTGGATGTCGACTTCACTGCGAATTCGGCCCCGGTGCATTCAAGACTTCAGCCGCAAGATGCTACCCGGCTTCGTTGTCGCATGGGCCACCATCCCCAGAATTCAATCAGCACTTCCAAACCGGGACTGGGAGTTCCGAGATGTTGAGGCAGGGAAGTGCGAACAACAAAGCAGAAGATCCGAAGTGTCAGTGCATGTCGCTTGGATATGAGGCAGGACTCTTAAAGCCTCAAAGTGCACAACAAATTTCTATAATATCAAAGACTCCATCGAACCCTCGTTCATGCGAGGCCTCCCTGCCGGTATTCCAACCGCCCCATGGCTTCCCTCCGCCGCCCTGAACTTTTAGGATTTCGGGCATTTACGAGTCAAGGCTCGTAAAGTTTTGGGTCTTAGCGTTTGTTGGGGTCCAGGACCTTGAGCTTTGCACACCACGAGCCGCTGCAATCAGAGTCGCCGCTGCGAACCCAGACTGTCGGCAGTGAACCCCGAAGCCCTGACCCCAGAACGCCCGAGAACTCTCAAAGTAGCTGAGCCGCGCCGGCGACTCCATTAAACTCGGAAGGTCGCGTAGAGCGTCGCCTCATGGTGCTGAAAACCATAATACGGACTCATCGTTTTGAACTCACGAGGGAATTTACAAATTCAGCCAAGGAGGAGATCTCCACTTCGTGAGTCCCCACATTAGATACCCTCAAGTGAGGAGGAGACAGGACATGATGCTGGTGCGGGTGATAGAAAAACATGGATCCTTCTACGGGCCTTTGTCGTAACTCTGAGATAACTAGGGACCTCCATTTCTTTAAATTCCACCGCCTCTATTCTTGGCAACTCCAAGATCTGAAGCATTCGGAGCAACAGGGGCTCGGACGCCTGCGAAAAAAATCGGGATCTTCTGCTCAACTGTCCAATCAAGGTCAACTAAAAAAGTTCAACGAGCTAAAGGACCAATGCCCATGCTCCTAAACAATGTAGAACACGTCCTTCTTATGAGCGCATGTTACCTCAACGCTCTGCACCGTTCTGGAAGCGGGGGGGCGGTCTCCTGCAGGAGTACACGATCTATCATATCTGCCCTGGAGGGCTTCGGGTTTGGGGTTATGGTTTCAGATAGTCTCAGTATTGGGTTTTGTGCTCTCGCTCGCAGTGTTAGGTTGCCAACGCTTCGGAGCTACTCTACAAACATCTAGAGCATGAAACGTAAATAAATGGCCGTTGCAAGAATACTTCGATCTCATGTTGAATCCTGCTGCCACTACGTGTAGTGTTCCCGCAGTTTAGCTTTCAACGGCAATCAGGAACAGTACTGCTGATAATGATTGTAGCTTGGCTTGGCAGTTCTTTCTTACCTGCCTTGGTCCGAGGGTTGAAACTAAAACCCGACTTGGGCTGAATGGCCTGCTGCAGGAGCTTCTGGATTCTTGAGGTTTGGGGTTCCTGGCTCAGGAGATCTAAGAATTTAGGGTTCAATCTTTAGAGCTTAGGGTTGGAGGGCCAGGCTGTGCAGTTTAGCGTTGAAAGGATGATGTGGTGAGCATCGCAACGGCTGTGCGCATGATGCTGGCATTCCCAGCTCCCAATTGCTTACTCAGGGTCAAGGGCTTCTTGAACATGTTTTTTTGCGTGGAGTTGATCGCCTCTGCTCTAGTGGGCGCGGCTGTTTACGGACAAGACCTCCACGATATCTCGCCATCCCTCACCAGAACACGCCTCCAACGGCGTTCCAACGGACCTTGAGAGGAAGTCAAGGCCCGCGGCGAGCGTAGACTCGTGCACATCTAGAGTCCAAAACCCCCAACCCAGGACCGATCACCTGCAGCGAAAGTCTCTGAGGCAGGCACATAGGAGGCTGTAAACCTGGCCAGGGCTTCAACCAATATAGGGGGCCTTCATAATTCGAATAGGGTTTTGGGGTCCATTGTACTATACTTATTATAAGGAACCCCCCAAACTAGTACAGGTAATGATTGAGGCCCCTCTATTAGACACCCCACAAGATGCTTCTTTTGTTTTTTCTGGTTTTCACTAGGAAAAAATGGGTTTTCCTGCCCAAAACCATCTTTTTCCTAGGAAAAATCAAAAAACTATTTTTCCTAGGGAAAGTTTGCATTTCACTCCAAACCCAAGGTTTTCCTAGCAAGGCATTTCATGTGTTTCCGCGCATTACGAATTTATGTTGCCAATAAGGTTCCAGTATCATTGATATTGGGATTCGATTCTGCTCAGCATTAATACTCTAAAATATGCTGGGCAATAACCAGGACATTGTTCGGATCAGTTTTGGTGTCGATGGAGAGCTGGTTATCACAGCTACCACCACTACGATGCCTTCTAGCTGACTGACGCTGTAAGTTAACATCGGGGTCAGCATATTTGGATGGTACTAAGCCGACCAATGATGGTTATGTTGGTATCTAGAACAGGTTTAACATTAAGGTTAGCATGTATATATATATATACATATGTCCATACACCCATATGAGCAAGTTCGTCAGCATACATACATATATATATATATATATACGTATACACATTATTCATATGTGTGAAACATAGTTCAAGTGCGGCATTTTGTGTCAAGCCTTCGTGACTCTATACATTTACGAAGTTGTCTGTATGATTCGTATGTATGTATGTATGTATGTATGTATGTATGTATATATATATATATATGTATATTATGTATATGTATATATATATATATAGAGAGAGAGAGAGAGTTTTATGTATAGGTTGTTTGGTAGATAGGTCTACAGATAGACCGAGGAATGCGAGGGGCTGCTGCAGACAGACGCAGAGGACGATGAGGCATCTGGGACTTGATCAGGCCAAAGCGACATGCAAGTTGTCGTCAATGTATCTTATTATAATCCTATTGTTTGATTGACACAGCTTCGGCGAGCACATTTTGGAGAGTGCTGCCAACTTGGAGTCCGGTCTGCTGCAAGATGCAAGGTTTGGAACAGCATCTGCTTCTTTGACGAATCGCCTTCCATCACGATGCCAGATTCTGGCACAATCTCGGTATCGCCTTTCCAGTCCGTGAAGTCGCCGAAGACGAAATCTCCTGTGGCTTCCATCGGTGAGACCACAGCCTTCGATGCTGGTGCAGCCCGGTTGCATTCCATCGCGAGCCGGTGGAAGTGTCCAGTCGGGATTCTCTTTTCTCGACTCGGACAGCCAGGCCGCAAGAGTCCTTTCGGCTGGAGCAGGCCTCCAGGCACGCGAGATTCATCTTGCGGAGGCCTCCAGGCTGCAAACTGGAACGGCGCAATCTGCACACCTGCCGTTTCTCGCCTGGTTCTGCCTTCAATCCCGAAGCCAGCTATAGACACCAGACTGCGATAGACACAGGTTTCGGGGAGCATGCTTTTGCCGGCACCCAGGCGTCGACAAGCAATTGTTGAAAGCTCAAAAGGCAGCATGATCAAATAGCGGTTTGGCTGGTCCGAACTGCTATTATTTACTTACTGCTATTCCGTAGTGATCAAGGAAAGGACTTGGTTCTGCGACGTTTCGCAGAAGCTGATGCTAGCTTCCACCTCGAGCACAAGAGTTTCACCAATTCTTCATTTGAGAATTTGAGAGCCCAAGTCAGCGTCGTGTTCAGGCGCCACCTCCGGCAGGCTCGACGTGCCCAAACCGACTCGTCGCTGGAATATCCTGCGATCCGCTTTAAGCTTGAACCGCCCTGCAGGGAACATGGCCGGTCGTCCTCCCTGCCCGGACTTGGATACGAGCAGTGCGAGCAGTCAGGACAGTCTGCGCTACGCACGGGACACAGGCGGCAAGCAAGATTTCCTCTCCTCCGCCCCCATGAGCGAGAGTCAAAGCAAGAGGGTTGCGAGCAGCTTCCTCAACGACAACGATTTCTTTCATGTAAACGAAGTCGACGTCGAGTCCGCAGTGCGTGCCGCATCCGCAAGAGTTCCTTCGGAGTTCCATGTCCGCCTACACACGAATCGTGTTTAACTTCGAATGTTTTCCGTTTGTTTTGAATGGTCATTTTTTCCAGGTCATCCTTTGCTTGAAGCCGTGCTTCAGAATCGACCTCGTGTCGTCAAAGCCCTCCTCCTCCTCGGCAGCCGCCGCTTGGATGCACAAACTCTACGCTATCAGTAAGTCGGCGATGTGGCCCACTCGCCAACAGAAACACGAGATCCGACTCCAGCAGACAGCAGATAGATAGATAAATAAATATATATATATATGTATACATATGTGTATATATACACACACATATCGGAGCAGCATTATCATCAAGGCTAATCTTCATTGCAGCGGCGCTGTCGGGGTGCTGGGTCCAATGGTGAAGAAAGTAAACAAGAGCCTCTTACAAAAGACGCCCAAAGACGCCCTGAGAGCTGCACATCATAGAAAGTGTGACCTTCATGTAAGATCTCCGGCAACCATCCAGGTAAGGACGTGCGGAATTCCCACGGCTTCACGCCGTTGCAATTGGCAGAACATCTTCAACATCAACAAGGCCCACATCCGATTTCTTGCTGTTGTTTGCGCTCTGGCTGTGGCTATGGGGTTTCGACAACTGCCGCAGTCTCCCTTTGCACAGGTGGCTTCCAGGAGGTCCTGCACGTCTTCGCCATGGACGATGGTGGGGCACGTCCCCAAGAGGGAATCAAGGTTCGATCGGGTAGTGCAGAGCTGCTCTGCACAGGTTGCCTGAGCGGTTCGTGAACTGATAGCATCGCAGAGACACGGGGGCCACTTGCTGCCGGTCCTTTCGACACTTCACTAAGCGAAGTTCTAGAGCAGCAGAGACAGCTGCATCAAGTGCACCGAACTCGACCATGCATTCGCAGGTGTTCGAGCACATCAAAGTGAACATCTGAGATCCATTGAAAATCTCCATATCCTCCTCGAACCTCCTTCCTCGTAGTAATAGGAGGTTCCGAGCAAGGTGAAGTCTTGAATAGCCATTTGCCTAGCACAGTGGGCCTACAGAGGTCCCTGTGATTGCACTGCTTCGTGCAGTTTTAAGTCCGTCCTTCCTGCAGTTTTGAAGCCGATCCGCCAGAAGGGGCCGCACGAATACTCTCGCCTCCACAGTTTGAAGTGCGGCGAAGGGGTGGGCCTGGGCCTGGACATGGTCCCATGGCACGGCTTCTGGAAGCATTTGCCTCCTACTGTAATGCTGTAAGAGTCTTAAATAAGCAAAGAGAAGTTGCCGTCTCCGACTGCTAGAAGCCGACGTTTTGGTCTTTGTTTTTGTTGTGCCGCCTGCTGGGCCACGAAGCAGCTAAGCAAAGTGTGCTCGCGGTCATGCTGCTTCTATCCCGGAGAGCTCCCACAAGCTTGCGAGCTCTTGCAATTGGTGAATTCGGAGCATCCGCAGAGATGCCCAATGCCTAGTTGGCATCGTCCATCGATGCCACGAGTCAGACTAGTTTATTACCTTGGAGGAGCATGCAGTCGGCTGCTGCAAAGAGGCATGCTCTACGGTAGTGTCCGCCTCGAGCACGCACTTGCCATGTCTCGGGACAGAATAGATACAGCCCAAGCCAAGTCATGCCGAGAAGGACTAGGCTTCCGCATCGCAGCTGAAGCCGTTTCTCAACCGACGTCCACGGACCAGTTTGACTGACACCGGCACCAACATGGCCCTCCAGCTCTTCTTTCCGACAGAGAAGCGGGCAACTGAGAGGGGGTGGAAATGACTTTTTCGTAAGATGTGGAACACTTCGTTGATTCCTGGTCGAACTCCTGATCTTGATGCTGCCGTGCAGGTGAATAGGCATTTTCTGTTGGCTCCGCTTGTATCCTACCATGCTGATCTAGGGAAGTGCTGGACATTGTCTAAGTCTAGGTCATGGCTACTGTAGTACTGCTCAGTGGCACGTCACTGCTATTATTGCTCTTCTTGCTGGGTTCGATACCCCAAGATTTCGGGAAGCCTGTCCAGGCCCGAGCTCCAAGATGAGAGTGAGTCGAAGGACTCGGACACCTTTCGACCGCTGGGGAAAGGACATCAGGGGAGCTTTGGGATCGGGCATGTGCACTGCTTGACAGAACACCATGCCAGGTATGGTGGTAGCAGTGGTGATAGGAATGTGTCATGTGCCGATTTCCGAGGATGCAGTGCTCCCGGGCATAGGGTTTGAAGTCTTGCGGATTGTAGATCATTTGCCTGCCAGGTCTAGGTTGCAGAAGGCTGCGACAGGAAGGTCACAGAGGCATGCTTTGCAAATACAGCTCGTGAGCCCTCCAGGATCCTTTTCCGAAGAGATGTACAGAGAGCAGTCCTTTTGCTCTACTCAGACCGGAAGCGGGACCACCGCCAGCAGCAGTTCCGACAATTTGTCTCGTTTCAGAGGCTCGAATACTAGCCGGGACTACAAACTCAAGATGATGGTGAAGACTTTCTTAGAGTCAAACGGCTTCATGCACGTCAACGAAGCCCAGCACGTATGGGGTCGCACTCGCGCCTTGCTTGCAGTGGGAACGCACTTGAGATCCTTCGCCATGCGGGGCGCTTCTCCTCTCGCATATGCAGGCTACCCATTGCACGTGGCGGTCTCCCAAAACAAGCCTGCGATGGTCAAAGCTTTGCTGCTCCTGGGTGCGCGGCACAACGTGAAGACGCGGCGGGGCCTCACCCCGGAGGACCTAGCACGCCGCAGCGGCTTCGAAGAAGTCCTTAATGTTTTGGAACAAGCGACGCTCCAGAAAGAGAGCACGCTTGAAAGCTCCCAGTCGCAGTCTCGTCGGACGTTACAAATGTGATTGAGGAGCACTGCCCAACGTGGCGGATCAAATTTGTAGTGGCACAGATCACTGCCTTCCACACCCGTGCATCCGAGGCGGCTGCGGGGCAGAATAGGCACGAAGCTCCGAGGCTTCTATACCTAAGGCAAACGTAGGCGTGCACATAGTTTCTGTATAACTATAGACATACATATATACACACATACATACATACATACATACATACATACATACATACATACATACATACATAGACACACATACACCCTGCATGTGTGTGTGTATGCATGTATGTATGCATGCATGTATCGGGTATATATGAAAAATATACGTACATATACATACAGACTCTTACATTTACTGTGTCTCATGCCCCCTTGATCTTCTTGCCGACTGTTAGTCTGCGCAAGACTTCTCGCAGATAAATGGATGCAAGCTTTTTCTGCACATCACCTGTACTTACCTCACTTCGTTCAGGTCATTGCGACATCTCAAACCCACCTGAAAACCGAAACCACTGTGCCACTGACTGTTTCCAAAGAGCGTGAGAAGGAACACCAGAGTCACGAGAGGCGCTCGTAACACACAACCAGAAATCGGTTTTACTTCTCAAGAAGCAATTGTTGTTTGTGGGCGGTGATATGAGAAAACCCTCTCCCATTGTGAAGTCTTCTAAGATAGTTTCTACGATCCAATAACAAGCATAAGATAGGCCACGGCTATCCGAGAAGAAGTACAAGAACACATCTATGCCCCTATATGCTTCCGAAAAAAGAAGCATGCCACTACATTCAAGACATTCGATCAAACAGTACTTAGCAAGTGACGAATATGTCGAGCTGCTTGCTTTGTACATCCCTTCTCACATCGCAAGAAACAAGACAACTGTGTAACCAGACAGCGAGACCTGCCACTGTGCTTCAACCAGATGCCAAGACAAACCTTCTTTCCTCTTAAGAAGAGAGGAAGCTGTCGGAGATCCCCGTATAGTTCGGGGGAGATCAATATATTTTCTGCTGTTCTCCTAGCAAGAAGGGGGAGAACTCATGGTTCACAAAGACAACATATGAGGGCTCCGCTCCGCCTTTACCACTGGTCAGAAGCCAGAGACCTGCGATGATTCTTCACTTACATAAAGAGTGGCAGAGCCCCGTGTGTGTCCTGCTCATGTATCGTAACAAAGTTGGAAACATCAATGGGAAGCAACAAGCCAATGCCGTTATGCCTTGAGCATATCTCGTCTTCACCAAGACTGTGATTGTGTTCGACGGCAGGAAGCCCCTGCTTACCAATCTATATATATATATATAGATCGTGCAAGGTACTAGCACAGCTGTAATTTCTACTAAACTATGAATATGGAAGGTGAAATCTATCCGCTTGTTGACAGAAGGAAGCTCCCCTGTTTTTCATGAAAACTAATTTGAATGAACAAGACCGCCTGCTCCGATCATGAACAGACACAATCTTTTTCTTGATGGTCAGAATTACAATAGCAATAGCCTTGTCATTGTGAAGCCTGAATGCTGTTTCTGTTCAGGCAATTCGATGGATTGGGCTTGGAATCCTCGCAGCTGTAGCCGTTTTGACGGCAGTGGCTCAAAAATGCCAGCTGCCACTGGAAACGTGTGTCTGGTGTTCACCTGTTGCCGTTTCCCGATGTTGATACCGTTGAGACATCATGTGTACTGATCATAAAGCACGCGCATGCCTTGGATACTGTGTAGGCTGGCGCGAGGCAGAACTTTGAGGCATAGCAGTCTGGCAGTGCAACCTTAGCAGTGCAGCGCCGAAATATCACCGACGGAAGCAAAGGCAACAAGGATGAAGAGTAGATAAGTTTACAGGCTGTTGCAGCCGCCTCTGGATAGGGTGTTTCTAGCTGGTCCCGCGCACAGGCTCGGGCCAGATTAATTTAGTTGCAATGTGAGGGATTTAGCATGCGTCCTTGCTTGCTTAGCAAGCTGGCGCTTCTGTAGTCGTTTGTGCAGAACGCTTGCTTTCTTTCAGCTTATGCCGACGGTTCTGTTGCAAGGGCTACACAGGCATGTTTTGCAATCGCGGCTCAGCTGGCAGCGCTCCGTTCTGCAAGGCCATGGACGAGCCTCGAGCGCTCATAGACACGGAAAAATGCCATGGCTATGAGTACCGATACGGCGGCACGTGCAGCCATGAGCACTTGTAATTTGCAGAGCTCCAGATTTCTGCGGATCACATATCACGCAGCTGTTTTAGAGTTTCGGTCACGGCCACCTCATTCCATCCAAGTGGTTTGGCAGACCAGGATGTGAGTTCGTTTCGTTTTGCAGAGCTGCGTTATCAAGAGCTGACACGGTTCTAGGCACACAGCTCAGCAAATGCTCATAGCTGAAGTGCCAGATCGCTGCAGGATTCCCTTCCCAGCCGGAGATGGACAGGGATCCGTCTTTCTCCTCCACGCAGACGGGAAGTTGTGAGACCAGCGAGGGCAGCCCAGAGCGAAAGGAAGGCACCTTGCCTCGTCCGAGGACTTGGCACCCTGCCACCCAGGACTACAAACTCAAGATGATGGCGAAGACCTTCTTGCAGGCTAACGGCTTCATGCACATCAACGAAGCCCAGCATTCGTGGGGTCGCACCCGTATCTTGGCAGAAAAATGGGAATTGCACCGCAGATTCCGGGCCTACACTGTAGCAGCCATGCCGATTCCTGGACTTTGCCGCGTAGTGTGCAGGCTACCCGTTGCACGTGGCGGTCTCCCAGAACAAGCCTGCGATTGTCAAAGCTTTGCTGCTGCTGGGCGCGCGGCGCAACGTGAAGACGCGGCGGGGCCTCACCCCGGAGGACCTAGCACGCCGCAGCGGCTTCGAAGANNTCGAAGAAGTCCTTAATGTTTTGGAACAAGCAACGCTCCAGAAAGAGAGCACGCTTGAACAGTTTTGCTCGACGGATGGCATGGCGAGCATCCAATCGTGATGCCAGACTCGGTTCGCATCGGCCAGTGAGGACACGATTGGCGTCCTTGCTGGGCTAGTTGTCTGTCGTTCCATGTTTAGTTTAGATACCCGTGGGGGAATGTGAGCACATAGTATTGGCAGCTGTCAAAGTCAAAGTTGCTGCCGATGTGCGCTAGGCCTTGTAGAAGTTTCACATTCGGTGTCTGGTGGTGCCTGACCCATGTTCATTGGCAGTAGCTTCTGGCTGACAGATGCTTGGCATTTGCCACTCCCGAGCAACCAAATTCGTTTCCGTGCTTTGACTTGAGATGACTCAAATCATCTTCGGGCGCTCTAGTTGTCAAGCTCCCACAGGGGATGCTGGATCATTGCGCACCGGAGTTTAGTTTGTCCAGGTGCGACTGGAAGGGTGAACGGTTGCAAAGAAAAGCCCTCCATCGCACACACATAGCCTGGAAAGCTCCTGAGACCCGAGCACCCACAGCGGTGTTGCGATCTGCTTGCTGTCAATCAAATGAACTCGCTGTGAGCTGGTCTTTACAAACTTAAAGACTTATGTCATTTGCCATTAGTAGGTAACTCTCATGAGCTGCGTCTCGGCAATCTGCACTGACAGAGATAATGCGAGGGACCAATGTCACCCCAGAGGGCATTTAGCGAAGACCATGAACAGGGCATCTTGGAGACTGGGTGTGGCCTGGCCGAGCTTTCTGTACCAAGGCGAATAGCAGAGCTGTGAGAACCTTTGTTGACAGCACGCAGCTGTTTGAGGGCTTCTGTCTTTGCCGCACTGCCTACAAAGCATGGCGCCTTCCCAGCCTTGCGACAGGCCAGGATGTTTGGAGTTGAAGTGCATGTGCAATGCCGTTGCAAAAGCTTGACATTGAAACGGCTCAGTGACTCAGGTCGCACGAAGTATCTGCGCAAGCGAGGCTGTCGCCGGCGAAAGAATTTCCTCGAGGCAGCCCAGCCTAGAGAAAGAGGATAGTAAATAGCTCAGGGAAGTCCGAAGTTACTCCCTTACGATGGAGCATGGGGCATGTCTTG